CATATTTAAGTGCGCTGTTGCCCTCAACCACACTTGGAGTGGGGGTCGTCCGTAGGTGGATTTTTGACGCGGGTCTTACCCCGTGTTGAGATTGCGCTGGAACCCCCATTCCCTATACTACTAATAGTACTAATTAGTACTAATTAATGTTCACGGATTTAGTGCAAACAATAGAGTGACCAGAGTAAACCTGTGAAACTTTAGTAATACTAAATAGCACAATTTCAAGCAAATTCCATTGTTTTCTATTGTTTAATTAGCACTATTTTGTACTATTTAGTATTTAGTGTTTCACGGATTAATTGTTTTCACTCTAGTGCGTGCACTATATTTTTTCTTTCATACTAAATGGAATGGGATTTTATCTTTGCTGACTATAACCACCGTTTGACTGCGACTTTTGGAAATGGTTTCTGAAATTACATGCTTGATTAGCTCCAACAGGAAAGGAGCCCCTTTGAACGCCAATCTTTGTTTCTACGTAATCAGACGTAAAAGATCAGTCAATAACATTACTAGTGCAACGATGAAAGATTAAAATCACTTCCTGTTCTTTTGTTTCCTTTGAAGAGGCAGTATCAAAGTCCACTCACAGGTCTAAAAAAAGCTCTGTTCACGTGCAGTTGGGCTATAAACACGTGCTTATATATGGTCATGGCCAATGATCGTTGCATAAATAAATCGTATCGTGAACCATTGTAAATATTATTGAACTACTCTTGATTACTGAGGAAAGACAATTTGTTTTTTTAATGCATTTTGTCACAAAGAGATCGGCTAAATACACTGCCGCTGCGAGCTGTTCTTTCCTTTCCTTTGCCCAAAACTAAATGTTCACGTAGTTGGCTCCAAAACTTAGATTATCTAAGTTTACTTTTAAATTCCTTTAACGAACAGTTTCAAGTATCAGAGGCATCAGAGGATATTTGAACGTCATGGTATTCGCTAGCAGCCTTACAAAGATTTCTAGGCTACCACGATCTCTTGTAAAGACAACACGTTGCTTGATAACGGTGTTTCGTTTTACACACGAAGATGCTTCGAGACCTCACGTTAAAGTGCCGGATTTTGGCCAAGAATTCAGAGGAATGGATCCATCTTTTCCATGTCTAACTGAGCTTTCTCCAAGGTAAGAACTAATACAGCTAAAACAGAATATTTGTACGAATTTGCACAAAAATAGTTAACGTGACATATTGTTTTGGTCGTACGTAAGGAGGCTGTTACGTGTTTATACAAAAAGCATGTGCAGGATTCTTGAATACCCTCAGAAATAGTCACGTATGATTTTTTCGTTTTTATTTCCTGTTGAAGGTTTAACGTTGATATATTACTCATATTAAGGACAAACTGTAATTTGGTGTCTTGCTGGATGGAAAAAGCCATAATACAGAATTATAGATTATGCTCAAGATAAAGATAAAATGACTCCCAGTTTATTAGCCCCCTCCCTCTCCCCCTCCCGTCCAAAAAAAAAAAAAGAAAAACATTGGTGTCCCACCTCAGAATCCACATATCCCCGATTCCTTTTAAATGCACAAGGGGCTATTTAAACTAATGTGGCATTTTGCGTTGTTTTTCAAGCTCACATCACCTCATGCCAGATCATCTTGCCCACTCATACTTATCATTTAAGGTCACTATTGTACTTTTGAAAATCTATGTGACCTTGGGCTTAAAATTTAGTCATTCTGGTTGATCGTTTTATGACAGTAATTATTCTCATGTAACATAAGTAATCCTACAGTTTTCGATGTTAAGATGTTGTATTTGAAGCCCACTGATGGTTGTTTTGAAGGGTAGGGTGGGATGACGCATTGTACATAGATATAGAGAAGTTGGGCAAGGACTTCCTCAGATGGCAAAGTTATGAAGACATGTAAAAGGGATAATGGATAGATGAAAATACTAGAGGCCAATCTGGGTAACAAAATGAAAGGAAAGTGCAGTGGACGAACATAGATCTTGAGAAATTGGGCAAGGAAGTCCCCCTCAGATGGCGAATGATCAAGGCATAAAAGGGATAAGGAATGCATGAGAATACTAGAATTGTACATGTGGGTAAAAATAGAGAATGGAAATCATGGGGGTCTAGTAGAATATTAAAATAATGTAAAAACTGGATATATTTATGTTTGATGTGTTAGAAATACTGGTAAATAATGATAATTTGTAAATATTATTCTGGAAGGTTGGCCTCACTGGTATGTCTGATAATTTTTTTTGAAAAATCTGTGTCATGCGGAGTGTAGGGGTGAGAGGATGGTTTACCTGGGGTTAGCTGGGAAAGGTAGTTCAGCATTATATATATGTCTAAAGGACACTATATTATCTTATCTAAAGCACACGGCCAGTGCACACATACTCTCTTTTTATTTCTTCATATCCAAAATAACAGTTATTTCACTCGTACTTTATAAAAAAATATATTGTAAAACTTGCTAAAAATATAATAATATTCCCATCCAATCCAATCCCATTCCATCCATTTCATCGACTCAACTATATTCATTTTCCATTTCCCATTTTGTCCAATATATGATACAGGACCATTTCCTGTCGGCAAGGGAAGGTGGCTGGGGAGATTTTTTTGAAAGGGTTCATTAGGGAATTGTCATGAATGCCTTTGTAAGTTAATGGGACATTTGAAACTAAACTTTATTTCTTTAATTTTTGTTTTTGAAAATTCCAAAATGTTGAAAATCAAAATTTAAATTTATCGTGCAGCTTTTCAAAAAAAAAAAAAAAAGCATCTGCCTCTAAAAGTTTGTTGATATTTTGCTTTAAATTATTCAATTATTGAAGATGGCAAATTCAAGCGTTTTTATTGGCTGGATTGGATCACGTGTCGTTAAGTACAGACCACAATGTCGTCACTCCGTGCATTGTTTGAAATACGCCATGCACGTTTATCGTGAGTTATCGGCTCAAAAACCTATATAGACGATGGAAAATAACGATCTTGTAGTAGTAAAACTTCCAGAAAATGAACGATTTGTAGAAATAAATGATGATGGAGAAGCTGACTTCGTCGACGAAACAGAAGCAAATCCGAATTCTTCAAAACAAACTCGCTGGGGAGTTTCAATATTCAAAGGTAAAAATTCGTCAACACAAAGCAACCGGTGAAATTTAATCTCATAGAAATGAATGAAAACATATTGTTTTCGTATTGGTAAGAATAAAATTGGAGGTTAGAGTTTTATTTCTTTTGGTTTCAGAATGGTTGTATAAAAGATTTCCATCCGAAATTCTTGAAGAACTTAATGAAATCACTCTTTCTGAGCGGCTCTCGGTATTTTATCAAGAACTGAAGCTCAAGTGCAACCAGGACAGAGACTATAGTCGCTCAGCTATCATCTCTATCAGAGCCGCTATAAACCGGCATTTGACGTCTAAAGAAGTCGGAAAAGAGTTCTCGATTATTAGGGATTCTACTTTTAGATTGGCGAATAAATCTTTAAATGCGAAACTGAAGAAAATCCAAGAAAATGGGACGTGCGCTGTTAATCATCATAAGCCTATGCGACCTGAAGACATCAGGAAATGTTTTCAATATGGGATCTTCGGTGAAAAAACACCTATTTCTCTCCTTAGAGTTAACTGGTTTAATATTAGTATTTTCTTCTGTAGAAGAGGGAGAAGGAATTATCGAAATCTTAAGAAAACTAGTTTTGTGTTCAAGAAAGACAACGACACCGAGTTTGTTGAATTTAGCGAAGACGAAAAGGCCGAGAATCGAAATTGTGGGATAAAATCCGAAGAAACGGATTCCAAAATGTTTGCAACAGGAACTGAACACTGTCCTGTGGCATACTTCAAGAAGTTTCTTTCAGTCTTGAATCCTGGAGAACCCGCGTTATTCCAAAAACCGCGGAGGAACTTTGTTTACACTGATGCAGTTTGGTACGAGAAGTCAGCGCTCGGGATTAACGCACTTGGCGGGATGATGAAGGAGATTTCCGCTGCTGCATATCTAAGCCAAGCTTACACCAACCAAAGCATAAGAGCCACCTCTTTTTCCGTGCTTGGTAAAAGTGGAATCCCGGCCTATCGTGGTAGGAAAGACAGCTCTGGGAATCGCAACGAAGGGAGTGACGATTTTGACTTCTCGTGTGTAGAGAGTACCCCCTTATTGGGGGAACTGTGGATGGTTGTCACATCGGCTCCGTTATATAAGCCCATACTGCCTAAGCCGCCAATGGATGTCCTTAGTCAAGTCCCCAGTCAGGTCCCCAGTCAAGCCCCCAGTCAGGTCCCCATTCAACTCCCCAGTAGAGTCACCACCCGAGTCACCAGTCGAGTCACCAGTCGAGTCCACACCCAAGTCCCCCTGAGTCAAGTTCCTAGCAAAGTGATTATTACTACACCAGCAAGGCAAGATAGATATTTATTTTGAAGAGAAGGGGGGAGGGGTAGTAGGGAATGTCTTGATATAGAGGCTTTGCACCATCATGTAGGCACCCATGACAGGATGCAGGAACAATTGAATCCGGTCTAATCTAATTTACATGTGAAAGAAATCAGTTTCCTTGGGGAAAAAGACTCTGTTGTTGTGCCTCCTGTCATGGCAACCTTTTTACTTTAACTAAATTTTATGATCATGATAGTAATTGTATTGTTTATAGAATTTTATGATTGTTTTTTATTCATTTTTCATTCTCGGTGTTCTTTGATTCCTCTATTTATTCATTCATCCATTCATTTTCTCTGAGCTGGTTAAGCACTGACAGGGATATTATGGGTGGGGGTCATAAAGACAGGGGGGCATGGCTGGGGGGGGGGGGTACAAAAATTCAAGGTTACAAAGGACGAGAACTTTAAGATTCATCTAATGAAGTTGTTATAATTTTGTATTTTGAGGTCAGGTACATGTTTGTCTTGTGTGTGTGTATTGGCCTAGTTTGGGGAAGGGGTAGTTTTTATTTTTGTTGTCTTATCATTCTCTTCTATTTTATTTATTTTTTCTTAAAAAATGAACAGTTACTTTGATATTTTTGACAAGAAATTATAAATATATCACAATAATTATAATAAATTTGTTTCAATGGGGGTGGTGAAAATATTCTTTTAACCCAAGGTGCTTCTTTACCTAGTCAACTGTTATTGTCAAATTTTCTAGATCGAAAGAATCCTTTGGCGTGGATCCAGTATATAACACAGTCAACACAGGCTACAAAGTTTTTCAGTATAAGCAACCCTTCTACTTCCAGTATAATAAAGGAGTGATACCAGAGATGACGATAGCGTATGAGACCTGGGGAAAACTGAATGAGACTAAAAGTAATGTGATTCTACTGTTTACTGGCCTTTCACCATCTTCACATGCCAGGAGTCATGAGGTGGGTCTGTGTGATGTATGCAAATTATATGACTTGAAGATCTGTATGGATATTTACCCTTTAGTTTTTCTCCTTCCAGAAATCCTATGACATTCTAAATTGCAATTTAATCTGTGAATTTACCGCTGTGCCCTGTCTTAGATCAGTGCAGATGTTTTTCAGGGTTTGATCTGTGAGTTAGCCATGCCCCGACTTAGATCTGCCCAGAGGTTGTTTCAGGGTTTGATCTGTGAGTTAGCCATGCCCCGACTTAGATCAGCCCAGAGGTTGTTTCAGGGTTCAATCTGTGACTTAGCCGTGCCCTGACTTAGATCTGCCCACAGGTCATTTCAGGGTTTGATGAATATCGAAGGTTCTTTTTTAAATGATGAGTATATTTTTTACTTGTAGGATAATCCCAGCGAAGGCTGGTGGGAAAAGTTTATAGGGCCCAGCTGTGCATTGGATACTGATAAGTTCTTCATAATCTGTTGTAATGTAATTGGTGGCTGCTATGGATCAAGGTAATAATAATGTAATGTTACCATTGTATGTTAGCTTATAGCTAGGAACGAAGGGGATGCAAGAAAGGGGGGGAATGTGCATTGCATATTTATAAATGACAATGTAAAGTTACCATTGTACAGTATATAGAATAGAATAGAATAGAATATGAATATATGGAAAATAAGCAAATGAAGGCCTAAACCTCATTTTCGAATAAAATTTTTGCTTTGGGTTAACACTTTGATTCCACTTTCATCAGCCATCTCCACTTCCAAACGAGTTAAACTTTCTGAATAACAAGATTTTAGCCTTGTACAACAGCCTTTCTTCAAGAAATGGTTTTTGGTGCTCACTGCTTGAATACGAAAAGAATTCTCTCTTAATACTTGCATTGAACATGCTTCATAGGGAGATGTTGTGGTTTGTCATTTTTACTTAGAACTACTTTGACATAAGGGATGTTAGCAGAATCAAAACGTTTTTTTCTACGTATATTTGATATTTTTAACACCCAAGCTTTTAGACCCCTTGGCCCACATCAGGGATTGAATGAAATTATAAACCTCAAGGATGTTTCATCTGGTAGAAAAGTTGATTGAACATTTTGCACAACAATGAGAATTCTTATTTGCTATAATATCTTTATCATAATCTTTCTTTTTTTCATTTCATATTTAAAGTGGCCCATCCTCTATAAGTCCTGTTACAAAGGAGGTAAGTATCTTATATTATGGAATGCTCAAATGGAGCTGTCTAAATATAGGAATTTTTGCCCATATCCCCATTGAAATATATTTTAAATTGCTACAACAAGATAATGTCTTAAATTAAGAATTACATGAGGGTCATTAGGTTATTTAACCTGCAGCTTGAGGGTGCAGGGCGGTAGCCATCAGTACAGTTGGTCCTGTTTTAACAGTACCACTTTACATCCAGAACCATTTAATTTCCCCCTTGAAAAAAAAAATTACAAAAGTAAATAAAAAACCCTTTTTTAAAAACCGGACCACTGGCTGACCACTAAGTGGTGGCTACAGCCATTGAGAGATTATATATTATTTTGTTTTAGTATAAAATTATAATAGTTAAGACAATATAAGAAATAATAATTAAAAAAAGAAAACCAGATTTTATTTATTTTATATTATTTCAAATTTTTCTCTGTTATATATATTTTTGAAGCCATATGCTACAACATTTCCAGTAGTCAGTGTGCAAGACATGGTTAAAGCACAGTTTTTACTCTTGGATTCACTTGGCATTGAAAAAGTAAGTGTTGTTAATTTAAGGATATCATGCTCTCCTACAGCACTGTCTGGAGTCACTTGTGCGGATTTGATTCTCAATCGAACCACAAATATGTGAGTTGAGTTTGTTTGATGTGTTGTTCTCTCCCTTACCATGAGGGTTTTCTCCAGATTCTCTGTTGTTTCTCTCTCCGTAAAAATCAACATGTGAGTTGAGTATTGTGTATTTTGAATAGGGAAAATGGTAGTGTGTGAAGCAAACCTCACAGAAGATACCTCACAAGAGTTACTGGGGTTAATGGTTGGAAAATATGAGATTTAAGTTAATGTCTAATATTTTCAAACATTTGTTAATATATATAAACACAACACACAAATGTTTATTTAACAAAAGTTATAATTTTGACTGATAGCTTATGGATTTTTTTACAATTTTTATCTTCAGCTACATGCGGCAGTAGGCTCATCATTAGGTGGCATGTTATCTCTCACTGCAGCATGCTTATACCCAGAAAGAGTAAATCGGCTAGTGTCGATATCAGCATGTGCACAGTCCCACCCTACATCCATTGCAATGAGATATGTGCAGCGACGAATACTTATGAGTGATCCAAACTGGAACAAAGGGTTTTACTATAACACTGGAGCTTTCCCTCGTCTTGGAATGAAACATGCTCGGTGAGTTATATTAAGATGTTAGGGAATCTTACAGTGGCATTGTAAGAGTCCCAGAGGTGGGGAGAAGGAGGATGCAAACTGGAACAAAGGATTTTACTATAACTAGAGCTTTCCCTTGACTTGGAATTTGAATGAAGCATTTGGGTGATCTTGAGTTCCATATGAAAATGTTAGGAAATCTATGGTTACAGTAGTACTGAGAGTCCCAGAAATGAGGGGAGGGTGACAAAGTGATTAAAACTGATACAATGGGTTTTACTATAACACCATTTTGAGCTTAATGTTAATAACAAGTTAATGGAATAACAACACACTCAGTGAGTTGTATTCAAAAAGATGCTAGAAAACGTAATTTTGTTTAATAGAGAGGGGGCTCGGCTGCACACAGGGTTGAAATATTATCTCACATCTAGATAAAGGGAGAAATGCCTCCTTGCACAGCCAATCAACATTGAGTAATATTTACTGACACATGAGTTTTAAAAATAAACTATTGTGTGTTATTTGGTACAGTGAGGTGGGAACAATCACTTATCGCAGTGGACCAGAATGGGAAGAACGATTTGGCAGAAAGAGAATTGACCACGATGCTGCCGTTGAACCAAACTTTTGTCCAGAATTTGAAATAGAGAGCTACTTAGACTATCAGGTAAAGACTAATTTTTTTGTAAATTAGGAGTAGATCCAGGAGGTTGTTCTGTGTTGCAGTACCGGATAGCCTCCTAACACCTAACACTTTTTTATTATTAATATGCGTTTGTCAAGTGGTGCACATATAATATCCTTATACATATATACATATTCTTCACTCTTCACCCCCTAACAAATTCCTGGATCCACCCTGTAGCTAGTAAGAAAAATAAATTTAAAAAAAATTATTTCTTACAGATTAAAATTATTGATGACCCACAAAAAATTTTTGGTAGAAATTGGAGATTTTAGAGAATTTCTTGTTGTTGTTCAGTGTTAGTGTTATGGTTGTTGTTGTTGTGGTGATGATAGTGGTGGTGGTGATGGCAAATGAAATAGAGGTTTTTTAGAATGGATTTTTTTTTCTTTTTAGGGAGATTCGTTCTGTGTAAAATATGACCCAAATTCTTTGCTGTACATATCCAAGGTGAGATGAATGAATGAGTGAGTGAGTGAGTGAGTGAATGGATGAGTGAATGAACGAATGAATGAATGAAAGAGTGATTGAAATTGATGATTTTTTAATATTTATTCACTAGTGTAATCACTCCTTTATTTTTAATTTTGAGATAAGCATTCAATTTGTAATGACTTGCTTTCATTAATAGTACTGCAGTAACTATATTTTTATCTAATTCTCTTTCTCGTCATGTTTCACTTCTCAACCACCTAATGCAGATCTAGTTATCACAATATTTTAAAAATCAATTAATGTACCAAATGAGGGATTGGATGAATGAATGGACAAACAATGATTGGATTACTAAATGTATGTTAATTCAGTTTGTTCTCATGACATTGCAGGCCATGGATTTGTTTGATCTTGGTGAAGGATTTGACTCCTTACTTGATGGGGTTTCGAGAATCAAGTGCCCAACACTGGTAAGTAGGGCCCATTCATCCACAAAACCTACACTGATGGAGCAAAAGTTCTATAACATTTCCTGTTTGTTGACACAGGTTCTTGGTGTTCAATCCGATGTTCTTTTCCCAATCTCACAACAAAGAGAACTTGAAAAACTGCTACAAGACTCAGGTGATACATTACAAAATAGTCTTGCATAATTTTTTGAACTATTCAGATTATAGTATTGGGCTCGACAAAATACAGCAGGCTTGAAAAAAATATCCATACGTATTCCACCCTAAAATGTCTAATAAGATCTATATATGTCATGCGTGTTAAGAAATAAGCCATTTGAATCAAAGCTTTCAGTCTTATAGGCAGACAAGCAAAACCTAAAGAAGTAATCTTACATTATAACTACCTATAGTTAGACTCATTGCATAACCAGGGAAAGAAAGTTTGGTTGCTGTGGATGGTGGGAACACATGGATAACATTAATGACAATGTAAAATGCTTGATTATAATGACTGATGAAGATGATAATGTATGAAGATGATGATGATGATTTTAGTGATGATGAAGATGGATGGGGGTAATGACTGATTCTAGGATGAGGGGGAGATGATGAATTGAGGTGATGAGGATAAGCAATGGTGATTTTATGATGATGATGATGATAGTGATGATGATAGGGATGATGATGATGATAGTGATGATGATAGTGATAATGAGGATGATGATGTTGATGATAGTGATGAAGATAGTGATGACCATAGTGATGATGATAGTGATGAAAGTGACAAAGATGAAGATGATGATAAACGTTGATGATGATGATAGTGATGATGATAATAGTGATTATGATGATGGTCAACATCATGATAATAGTGATGATAATGATAGTGATGAAAGTGGCAAAGATGATTATGATGATGAACAGCTATGATGGTGATAGCGATGATGATAACAATGATTGTGATGTTAACATGATGATTTTATGAAGATGATGAATGATGAAGCTGATAATGATTTGATAAGAATAGTGAAGAAGTTCTGGATGATAACAATGATGATTTCAGTAACCAACATAATGATAATATACCACCAAATTTTGACCGCAACTCAATTTCATTGCTATTTCAACAGGAAATCATAGCGTGACATTCTACGAGTTAAACTCGATATATGGACATGATACATTTCTGCTGGATGTTGTCGCTGTGGGTGCAGCTGTAAAGGTAAACATTCTCCTTCTACTTTTCTCTACACTTTAAGCATGTTTACACTTGATTCCTGAGCATGGTGCTTGGAAGTACAATTAACTTGGGCACTTATATAAACACAGCTGATTTAGAAGTACACACATCAAAATACAAGGACGGGGTACTGTCTCAAACTACAAGGTTGGAACTGGGTCACAGAGCACGAAAGAGATCTAGGGGAGTTTTCTGGGGGGACGGGGTACTGTGCCCAAGTACAAGGTAGGAACTTGGTCACAGAAGACGAAGCGCGAAAGGGATCTAGCTAGGGGAATTTTTGCTTGAGGGGGGAGGGGGGGGGGTCCTCGAGGTGGCAACTACAAACCACCCTAGAAATATCCAATACAAAATAATTTTCAGTCATCAAAATCAAATCTACGTCATATTTAAATTTTTCTCAAATGAACCTCCCCTAGACAAAATCCTGGATCTGCTCCTACAAAGTGTCCATTGAGCAGTGTTAGTGTGGGTAAACGCTCTTAGCCTTTGAGTTTGTTCACCGGCAACGCTACTCAGTGAGCTATTCATTCATGATTACATGGTTAGAATAAAATTCACATACCAGACAAAGGGCGTTTTGCTATTTAGCTAAACACAAAACTAATTTACAAGTATTGTACAGATTGTGAAGAGGTGGGGGTCTTTCTGTAGTGTTAATAATGTGAAAGCTTTGAAGTGTTCAGATGGATAAGAAGGGGCTAAGGTGTTCTATATATAGAAGATATTTTGGGTGACTGTGATGTGTCGGACAATGCTGGGATTGATTACTTTGATTGGATTAAAAGTGATCCCACGCAACCAATTAGCTCATAGGATATCCGCGTCAATTTCCCCCTGTCACTGTGTGCCGTGGCGTTTAATACTTTAAAGTCATAGCAAATCTAATTAATGTACTGTATTTAAATTACCAAGGAACGTAAGGGCTTGTAGAATAATCCTCCATCTGTAGGGATCATTTTCTTTTTGTACAGATTGGTATAATTTTTTGCGCGCAATAATTGGTCTCAATTTACGTCAAGGGACTAAATGTCCCGCGCGGGTCAAGGGTGCGCTCAGAAAATTTCACATTTGTCAGAAATATCCTCATCTTGAATTATTTTTTATTTCATCTGTGTTTTATTTGATACTACACAGGGACATTTGGAGACAGATTTAAAGGTTAATGGCAAATTAAGAAAAGACAAGCGATGAACAAACAAGATTTGTAACACTTCCAGCAGCCAGTCCGTAAAACTTCGTTCACAAACACACACTACGCCATTTTAGAAAATATTCTTTATATTCTTTTAACCCAAAATATTGGTTAATGGTATTATTCTCGTAGTTATCTAGGGTTGTTCTTAGCGTTTTTCGATTTAGTTTTATGACGTTTTATCGGTCCAAAGGGTCGTTGAAACGGCGTAAAACTAAATCGAAAACGCTGAGAACATCCCTAACTACAAGAATTTCAAATATTATGATTAACCAGCCAAGATAAGCCTTTAGAATCATGAATGATATTATTAATTATATATGTTTTGGGAATACGATTTTTTTGATATTATATTCCCCAATTACCTTTACCGGGAAAGAAAGAAATCATATACAAGAAAATTACCCCTTGAAAGGGAAGTTGTGGATTAGACCACTGTTAAAATTAGTTTCAAAATAAGTTTTAAAGGACAATAAAAATAGAAATGACCCTATTTCTTTGGGAAATTTTTGTTATGTCGTTGCGTGGCATTGTCCAAGCTATATTAGGCTTTGCCTGCTTCACAGATAATATAGATAATAAAAATTCAAGAAATTTCTACAATATTTGATTTAATCAATAAAGTGTATAGTTTGCACATTCTTTGAATTACTCCATGCTCATGCAAGAGAAAACCGCTCACCAAAATTGCATCTTATTACAGTGAGGACACTCGAACCGTGAAAACTCTCACAACTAAATCAGATAATAGGTTTTTTACATCGGATATCATTAAATGTAGAGCTGGTTTTCATACCCTTCATCTTGGTTGAATTTTACAAACATTTTGTCATTATTTTCTCTATCTTTCGTATTTTATATCAACCAACACGAGAATAACGTCAAACCAGCCTTGGTTTGCTAAATTAATAGAAGCCACTCTAATATATTGAGGAATGACAGATCTGATCAGGTCAACAAAGCTCATTTCCTTTTTTGGTCTTGTAATTTTTAGCCCAAGGGGTGCCCATTCGTGAAATGACTAATAATAGTGCTTTTTCTCACACTTCTTATATGTTAACTAAAACTCGCGATTGTTGCGGGTCGTTATACGTTGGAACCAAAAGAGGAAAACAAGGGTATGTAGTTAAGTTTTTGCTTACCGTCTTAAAAATTAAAATGCATTTAGATATTGGAACGGAATTTCATCTCAGAAAATTTAAATGATAAATAATTGTCTCTGTAGCTTCTCCAAATCACGCTTTCGCCTTTCTGGTTATCGATAATATTTCCTGAATATTTGCCATTCAAATTGGAGTAAAAACAACTGTTGTACCACCAAGCACCATGTCTATCAACAGCACAGTGACCACCATATTTGTCGTTATCTCTATCCTTTGTAGAGAAAGCCATGTTATTATGATAAGTCAGTGAGTCTCCAGCAGTACCTGAGTACGATTCAAACTTCAGTCTGTACTTATCTGATTCGTTGCCAACACTAAATCTCTCATATTTGGCATAAACCCTGTTTCGTTCCCAGTCCTCCAGATCTACGCGGAGTGTTGACTCTTTGTTTGCAGTCAGTCGATGAATGTAATCGTTACCCAACCAAAACTCGCTAATCAAGTTTCCAAAACCTGTTTTGTATTGTTGCCAATCGCGGTAAAAGTTTTCTGAACCGTCTTGTCTTCTTTGGAACACTGTCCAACCTCCTCCATCGGTTGTCATGTCACAGTAGACTTGGAATTCATCTTGGTCGTCGGGTTACACGGTGTACACGCCGCTGAGTCTTTCTCCGAGTTTATAGATATGTGAACAATCTTCCCGGTAAACTGTCAGTGTGGTTCTGGTGTCGGTGTAGAAAACTCCAGCACTTGTGGCCGTGCACACAAATACACCAGAATCTTCTAATCTCAAGTTTCTCACGATCAAGAGCCCATTTTTTACTTCATGTCTACCAGAGGGAAGCACTCCATTCTCTTTTCTCCAGCCTATCACTGGTTGAGGATCACCTTTAGCTGTACAGTTTAAGACCATACTCTTACCATGTATAGTTTCATACACTTTGGGGGGCTTTATAACAAAAACTGGAAGCTGCACAACGACAAGTACCGACCATGCCATCACAGAACCAAGAAGATTTTCCGCTTTGCAAAAATATGTCCCAGAATCTCCTTTCCTGGTTTTAAACAAAGTCAATCTCCTCTCCAGGATCACTGAACGATCGCTTGGTAACAGACCGGTTGCTTTAGACCACGTGACCTTAGGGTTGGGATGACCCGTCACGTGGCACGTCGGTAAAGAAATATTATTTCCTAACTTAACGTGGATGAGTGTTTTATCGAGGGTCACTCGAGGGAGGAAGTTCACTTCGATTCGTGCTGTGCTTTGTGCTTTTCCGAGAATGTTGGAAGCTTTACACTCATAAATACCCGAGTCATTGAATGTCACGTGTTTGATCTCCAGTCTGCCGTTACTATGAATAACAGATCTGTCAGTAGCCATGGAACCATCTATCTTGCTCCAACCAATCACGGGTCGAGGATAACCACTTCCTGAACAATCCAAGATGGCGGATTTGCTTTCGTTTACGATCAAATGAGGAGGCGAAAAAACTACTGATGGAACAGCTAAAGATGGACCTGGTTCTCCCTTGGGTCCTGTCATCCCCCTTGGTCCAGGAACACCATCCTGGCCAGGATCTCCTTTAATTCCACGAGGTCCTCGTTTCCCTATGGGACCAGGAAACCCCCTTGGACCCCTTGGGCCTCTTCTTCCTCTTTTGCCAGGTCCTTTTATAACCATAAGTGGGTTGGTAGCGTAGAAAGACAAAATTCTTTTATCGATCAAATGTAGAAGCATCTTGTTGGTTATACCACTTGCATTTCTCTCGTCATTTTCTAAACTACGCTGAATGCGACTCTTTCCTTCTGAGAAAGAACGCTCCAAAACGTCGTTTACCACGGCGTTCCTGATTTCAGGCACCAAATCGTTGATTCTTGATTGCTGCTTCCTCAGTATCATCTCGATGCGTACAAATTCGCCGCAGCCCAAAAGCAAAACAATTATTAAAGCGATGAAAGCAATTTTAGAGGAAGAACTTGATTTTTGTTCCATTGTTAAAGCAAGCAATCGCACTTTGTTTATCAGTGAAAACGTCTTGCTCTAGAGTATACGTATCTTAATTTGCCAGCGGTAACTCTATACTGGTCTCAGTTACAAGGTCATTACTACATACGACGTATTTACTATCTGATTTTGAATTGCTTTCTGTTGTATAAGATCACAAGTAGCCCAAGCTAGGTTCTTTTCCAACATCACGTGACGGTGCAACTTGGGCTGCCTGTGGTTAGATGGCAGAACAATAGGCCCTTTTAAGTTAACGGTCACGTGTCTGTACTGGACTGCAAAATTTTTATTTTTATATTAAATTGGTGATTCTTTTTAGCTACTTGTAAAGAACTGAATGAAAACATGTGTAACCAGTGTGTTACGAAATGCACTTTTATTACGATCTCTCGAAACCGGTTGTAGAAAGTTTCTTTGCAGTCCAGTAAAATTCATCCATGGGAATCAAGATGTTCGTTCATTTGCTCTCAGTGAATTAATCAGCACGTGATTGCTTAGCTGCAAAGGGCCTATTACATCCCTGCCATCTAACCTGCCTGTCGTCACGTGATGATGCAAAGCCTCGATTGCATGGCGATCCTTCAAAAACTCAATAAAATCTCAAAATCAAACAAAAGTAAAGAAATCCTAGCTGACCTTTGAAAAGTAGTACCTCTCGTCCTGTGTAGTCATATTTTGGATTAAGCCAGTCTTAACGTTTTATCCAAAATCTAACCATTGAACTTAGAATTGACAGACCTTTTCATTGGTACGGCAGCAATCTTGAATTCTATTGTTTTAATCAAGACATTATGGGATACTGAGGGGGCAACTATTGGAAAATGTACAGACTGCACAGAGTCAGTATGTATTTTTATATAACTACGCTTTTCAATGAAAATCATATCGAAAACGCAATCGAATTTGCTGATAGCTGGAGAAATATGCGAAACTAATCGATCAAAACTTCAAATAATTTGAAAAGGTAACCTCGCCACTCTATACTTTATAAGTTTTCTACATGTCCCCTCCCCCCTTCCGGGTATCCCATGATTCAAGATCAATAAAGGTCCATTCCAAATGTGGTATCAAAACTCCTAATCTGCGATGAGGTCAAGTAACGACGATCTTTTGTTTGTCTAGTATTTTTTTACCGAAGGGCCAAAGGGAGCTCAGTTGCACGTAAGACCACACTATTCACAATTCTTAAGATTTCTCTAAGTCAGTACGTACGTTGCAGTTAAAGAGCGGAGACCAAAAGAGGGCCGAAATTAATAAATTAAGTGTAGGAGTGCTAGCCGTGCATGGCATTCAAGGCTTGACGACCGTAATAAAGGCGCGGAGCAAGTTCTAGAATCTTCATGCATAATTTTCGCGCTTATATCTATTTATAGTGGTAAAAGATTTAAAAAAAATGCTATACCAAATTTTAAGTAAATTTATGACCTTTCTTGTTAAATGTTCCATTCGTGTCTTCTTATTGGGCGATATATTTTAAAGTTTATGTACTTATCGCGAATAGAAATGACGCGGTCAGCTTAGACAAATTATAGTTCGAACGAACCGTCGGAATTCTCAGTATCGATTAATTTTTTTCATGCCGATGTAAATTTTTACTGGGTTTCTGGTCAGTAATCAAACGCGTTTTCCTACAGTTTTTCCAGGAATTCAAAAGCGAAACTGAAATAACGAACAGGCTGAGCGCGAAGTGAGCAGAATTGTGGCCGGCACGCACCGAAATAAATTTCAAGGTAAGTACAGATTTACTAATAGGTGACATGCTTACATATATCTAATGTATTAGAAGCTCTGATATCACATATAAGCCAAAGAAAAATTCTGGAACCTTTAAAGGAACCTGTATATGTTCAAAACACGCCGGCTGGTCGTTGGCTTTGTCTTTAGGTCTTCAATGTTTTAAATTTAAAATTTAGTTTTTTTTAACTACAGCTTATTCGACTTGCTTTGATATCACGATATTCTTTTAGATTGAACTTAACTTGAATGATCGGGATCTGCAGTATGGTCATGAAACAATTCACTTCCGAATGAAAGACAGTTGTCAAACGATTATTCAGTTCTCATTCATCGAAGGTTTGGTCTTAAAAGAAATTTATTTATTAAAACTAGACTAGACTTGGCCCATCCTTAAAGGTGGCATTAATATATAATGAAAGGACGGAATAAATTTTGTCTGCGCTCCAAGTACATCTGGCCTATGCCTGTAAAATTAATTGTCTCTTGAAGAGTAAGACTGGTGATAGCTTTCTTTGCACTTCTGCGGACCACATTCTCTTGCATATGCTAAGTTGAGGACCTGGAGGCTAGGGTATGGCGTTCCCGCCAAAAATCAAACTTGCGACAAAGAATTTCATGCATCAAGAATAAACTTCAGTCGAATCGTCGGGTTTTCCCTGACTTGGACGCGGGGGAACTCGCTTCAATTTCATTCAACTCTGAGAACGTCCACCCCCAAGATACTTTGCAAACATGCAAACAAGTATTGGAGCGAGAGAGGAACCCAGTAGAGCAATGCTATAGCAATGTGAACTAAATGCAAAATGTGCATACGTTTAGTATACACTTTTATTGGTTCTTGTTGGATTAACACAAGCAAATACATTATGGACTTTATTTTACAACTGTTTAAATTCTCGTCTACCTATGTGTAACGTCTCTTGAATACGACTGTCATATGTCACAGTGTGCGTGCAACTGGACTCAAAATCCATCGAGATATGAATAACAATTGAACAGCCGCCATCGGTTGATCTAACAAGAGAAGCTAATGAGGAAATGCTTTGTTATCGTCAACCAAGATGGTGGTTATGACGATGCTATATACTGTCATTTTATATATCGTTACACTACACGGTGTGAGCGTTGCGTGACGACACTAAAAACGGCAGCGGCTAGGCAGAGGCTACGAAGGTTCTTTAGGTCAGCCCATCGAGTTCCAGCTCTAGAGGAAGCGGCATGCATCCCCACTACTATAACCAAGATCACTGCATATATAATGTGCATTATGCATACTAAGCATTAGCACTCACTTAAGGTTGGTACGCTAGCATATGTCATAAATGTGTACATGGTTTAGTTTGTTCATGTGAATAACTTGCATATTTATCTAGGGTGTATAGGCTTTTATTTGGTTTTGCATTCCAATGTAGTTACGTAAGAATTGTAATGTTTTAACTTTTTCTAGGATGATTTGAGGGTAAGTTTAGGTTGGTCGTTCTTAGAAGGTGTGGTAGTCTGAGGTTGGGCATATTTAGGGACAAAAGGAAACATAGTATTAATTTTTGGAGTTTATTCTTTCTTCATTGTAAGCCGAGAACTCATTGGAGCGTGATCGCGATCATCAGTCAATTCTGATTAAAAATCTCTGTATGTTAGGACGAAGTACGACATAGAATGACGTAGAAACTTGACTATAAATTTAAAATAAGAACATGCGTAATAAGTAAATTACGAGCCTTAGATGAAACGACTGAAGAAGAGTGCCATACAAGCCTTTCACAACTTCAAGTCGCGTAAAAAATGAGCCAGCTCAACTAGAAACTGTGGACAGCTGTTTCGGCCTGTATTGGGCCTCGTCAGCACAGTAAATTTAAAAGAGAAGTTCGTCGGCTTTTATTTGATCTTAGAATATGGGGAATAAGCCGAATAGAGCAATTAGTTCGTGGCAAATTTGCCATTAGGCGGTATGGCTTATATTATAACAGCATAGAGCAATTATTTCTTGATTAATTAACTGTCGATATGGACTTCTGATGGCTTTGTTTGAGTACGAACAGTCAATTCAATGATACAGTAGTACTCAGTGATAAATTGTGGCGCCTAAATATTGTTCAGCCGGTTATGAAACGTTCCCGTTTTTGGTTCGGCTTAATTTTAAAGCGATTCAATATTCATTGATATAATACAAATCTCTGTGCGATTTCGCTTTCGTTTATAGGCTATGTTTTGTCTAATCACTGAATGCTCATCATTAGTCGCGACGCTTCTGCGACGCTATTGATGGTTGGGAAGTATCTGAACTCGTTTTTCGTTTTGGGCTGCCTGTGTAAGTATGGCTGGAAGAAACTTTTCAAAGTGATTTCAATTTGTCAAAGAGAATTCGTGTTTCACTAGATTAGAAGTGGTATATATCGAGATCGATCTTGGACTATTAAAATTAAAGGACATTTCTCACTTATATTTAGCTTCTCTTGTTAGATTATCAACCAACATATGGCGGTGCTGTTTCATTATTATCCAGTATCTCGCAGAGGGATTTTCACCCCAAGTGCAAGCTGCATGCATGTTATAACAAGAGAAACGATTGGCAAGCCTTCAGTGAAAAAATCACCGATAAAGACGCTGCCAGATGATATCCTGGCAAATTGAGAGATTAAACGGGCCATGGTTTCTAGAATTTTCTGGCTATGTTTTTAACGACGCGAAAATTTCAATTTATATTTATTAAAGTTACATAAATAGTAGATTTAAATTTAAAAACTTTCTTTAATTTACTTCACGCGTACGGACAGAAAAAGACAATTTTTATGACAATCGATGACTACACTTTATTACAACTCCGTAATACTTTTTCGACTCCATTCGGCTTTTTCACACAAGTTTAGCTAAAAGTTGTTGGCATGCTGACATCATTAGGACACTGGGCCCGGTTGTTCAAGGCTACGTAAGTGCTAATCCAGGATTAAAACTGTATAGGTCTTATTAAGAGTTAACCCAGGATTAGCACTAATCGAGCTTTGAACAACCCGGCCCTGAAGTCTAAGTAGCCTACCGAGAGTAGCCTCTTAACAATATGACAAATCACCATGCATGGAATTATAATTTTAGCCGCATTCATAGCACAAACTAAGAAAGAGGGAATTTCCCCCCGACTCCCACCTTGTATCCGTTTTAAAAGACCTCCCTGAATTCTCGAAATCGCAGACTTTACTTTTGATAGCTTTTTACTTAACTCCGAAACGATGCGGAAGCCATAATGGATCACAAATATTTATATAATCAGCCTTGGAAAAAAATTTTCATCATCTTGTTTTTGCCTAATTTCAAAAAAATCCGTCATTTTTTTGCTCACGAAATATCTCGAAAGAGGCTTTACTATTGCTATGATAGTAACCGACGGATGATTATGTTCCAAAAGCATGCATTTTCTTTGACTATCCTTACGATGCGGTTAAGCCTGGTTCACACGAGCAACGCAAGCGCAAACGCAAACGCAAGAAAACTACGTGTGAACTACAGTAACACAAACGCAAACGCAAACGCAAGGAATGGAAAATTTTCCATTTTCTTGTGCTTGTGTTTGCGTTTGCGTTTTTAACGTGTGAACCGGAGAAAACGCAAACGCAAGCACAAACGCAAGACGTGGTTCACACGAGCAACGCAAACGCAAACGCAAACGCAAGGAAAATACGTGTGAACTATAAACAATCACTACTGCGCATGCGTATCTTAATTTACTTGCATTTGCGTTGTACGTGTGAACCAGGCTTTAGTGTTGTAACGTGCTGTGGCTGTAGCATTGGGGAGACTATTCTACGGTGGCCGATTAGGACAAAACGATATTACAAGTCTCAAAACAAGTTAGCATGTATCAAAACAAGTTAGCAAGTATCAAAACAAGTTAACAAGTATCAAAACAAGTTAACAAGTATCAAAACAAGTTAGCATGTATCAAAATAAGTTAACAAGTATCAAAACAAGTTAACAAGTATCAAAACAAGTTAACAACACTCGACGAAATAATGGATTTGGTCATCATATGTCCACTTGGCAAATGTTGGGCAAATATGGTGCTCTATATTTGCCCATACATTTGCCTATGCAGGCAAAGGTCGGGGTAAATTTCTAATAAATTTGCCATTGCTTTGCCATACATCTGAACACATGGGTAAATA